CAACTTAGGCCACCATCCTCAGATATTTGGTCAAACACTCTTCTAGATGTTTCTAAGATGAAGGAATTTTTTTAGGTGAGATTAACATTTACATTAGCAAACTGAGTAAAGTGAATTACCTTCCATAATGTGGCGTCTCATCCAATCAGTTGAGGGTCTTAAGAGAAAAAAGATGTGGTCCCCTGAGAAAGAGAGAATCCTGCTTCCAGACTGCCATTAAACTTGAATGGAAGCATCACCTTTCCTGGGTCTCCAGCCTGCCCTGCAAATTTTGGACTTGGCAGCCTCCATAATTGCATGAGCCAAGTTCTGAAAGTATTTATTTCTATCCTTATCTACATAATTTTTCTCTATGCACCTATGTCTATGGATACAGATATATAGAGAGATACATACATATCTATATACATATGTCCTATTGGTTCTGTTACTTCGGAGAACCCTGACTAATAGTGTTAAATGCTGCAAAACAGTTGAAGAAGTTGCAGATTTTTAAAAAGGCTATTATATTTGCCAACTATGAGGAAGAGATCAATTTCCCTGAGCATTTTAAGGATAGTTAATTAGAGCAAGGAATGAGGTGGAAAGAAAAGTGGAAGTCCTGCTTAACTCATTTACTGGAGAGGAGTCAAGGATCAGAGGCACAGATGGAGGAAGTGAGCTTTAGGAGAAAGAGGGGTGGCTTTTGCCTAAATTAGAAAAAAGAAAGGGAAACCCACTGCAGCTTTCAGGCAGGGGGCTGGGGTGAGCCAGTTACTCTGAGCAAATGAGACACTGCTCGAGAACGCTGACATGGACTTTCCACCGTCATGAACACAGGGAATGTTGTGCCATCAGTCACTCTATTCTTCCTTCTCTAATGGCTTCTCCTCTTTAGCTATTTCCTTTCACTTTCAACATTGATAGGGCTTCTGTGCAGCCATCAGCCACCCCCACTCATCTCAAGTTAAAAACAAGATTAAGCAGTTTTCCCCTTCCCTAACCCACCCCAGCTGGTGCCAACTGGCCCAGCTTACACCACATCCCAATGGCCATAATCCAGTCTCTCAGGGAGTCACTCCAGATGACCCTGGTCCAGCCCACTAGTTGTTGATGGAAATTGCCTGAATTGAAGCTGAAATCTTCTCCATAAGCCTAGGGTCACTTCTAGGAAGTCCTCTCTCTTCTTTTCTTATCTGAGATGAGGACTGACTCCTTCTTTAGTCTTCTCTTTCTGCTTTCTTGGTTCTGAGCTATGACCTCTGCTGCCCACCAACTCTTCTGCTCTTTTCTGCCACTCATAAGGCGGGGCTTCTTTCCCCAGAGCCCTTTTGGAACGGGAATTCATCCTCAGTACCTCTTCAGGGTTGGGTACACCTCTGCTCACTCAGGGCCCATCTGCAACCATCTCTTTGCTGATGCATTTGTGTTATAGCAACAGCCCAGGATGCCTGCATCCTTTAACACCACAGGGGCAAGGGCTAGGCCATTTTTTCCCACCAACTAAAGAAAGCTGGGGAAAAACGAGGGTCATTTTTTGCTATTTCTTTTTTTTTAATGATGTAAGCTCTAATTTTATTTCTTTTTTTCTTTTGGATGTGTCATACTTGTACATATTTTGGGGATACATGTGATATTTTGATGCATGTATGCAATGTGTAATGGCCGAACCAGGGTAACCGGGACATCCATCACCCCAAACATTTACCTTTTCTTTATGTTGGGAACACTCCGATTTTTCTCTTTCAGCTATTTTTGGAAATTCACAATTAATTGTTGTTAACTCTAATTTCCTACTGTAGTATCGAATACTCGTTCCTTCCATTTAGCCGTATTTCTGTATTCATTAACCAACTTCTCTTCCTCTGCCCACTGCCTTCCTTCCCAGCCTCTGGTAATCATCAGGTCCATCAGGTCCCTTTTCGTAGCTTCCTCGTGTGAATGAAATCATGTAGTATTTGTCTTTCTGTACCTGGCTAATTTCACTTCACATAATGACCTCCAGTTCCATCCATGTTGTTGGAGATGACAGGGTTTCCTTCTTTATATTATGGCTGAATAGTGTTCCACTGTGTATATGTGCCACGTTTTCTTTTTGCATTTATCTGCTGATCTTAGGTGGATTCTATATCTTGGCTGTTCTGAATAGTGCCACAATAAACATGGCCGTGCAGACATCTCCCGGATTTCCGTTCTTCCGTTTGGATATATACCCAGCAGCGGTTGCTGGATCATCCAGTAGTTCTATTTTCAGTTTTTTGAGGAACCTCTGTACTGTTTTCCATAATGGCTGTACTACTTTACATTCCCGTACTTTTTGTACTTTCTGTCAACAAATATTTAAGCATCCTCTATGAGAAGCAGTGTGGTGGACCGTGTCTTAGCACAGCATTGGATTTAGCCTGCCTAGGTTCATAGCCCAAGATCTCCACTTCCTAGCTCCGTGGTGCTAAGCACATTATTTACCCTCTCCATATCTCAGTTTCCTCATCTGAAAAATGAGGACAATAATGCTGCTTCCCTCGTAAAGCAGACATGAGGATTAAATAAGTTAGCGTGCAGGTAACCTCCGAGGTAAACTAGTTAGCATGCAGGTAACCTCCAAGGTGGTTATTTCCCTTGTGTTTACAAAACAGCTCTCCTGATCCCCGCCCTAGTCCTGGGAGACTCAGCTCATACAGGAAGCTCGGAATCCAGATACAGGTGACAGGAGCCCATGACTGTCACCAGGCAGGCAATGTCCTCTCTAAACGTCAGTCACCTCATCTGTAAAATGGGCAGCACAGTCCCTTGGTTCCCGCCCTCAAGGTGGTTGTGAGGTTCTGCTGAGATCATGGAGAGAAGGGACTTTGCAAACTGTAAACTTGCCATGGCAAAGTGGAGATTAGACAGAACACAGCATCACGCATTCTGATTTGCTGGGATCTGCAGACAGGGGTGGCTGTCCTTGTCCCCTTCTTTGCTCCAAGTTTGGGAGAAATTTTCTCTTCCCCTAGGGTCTCACCTATGTCACTCCAGCATTAAATGGGGTAGGCATGTAGGCTTGGGCATGGGGAGATGGTGCCGACTGTGGCATCAGAAAACCAGGCTGGCCTGTGTCACTTTGTGGTCCCGTTTCTTCCTGCACTTTCTTCTCATAACCTTCATCCCACCTCTGCACTGCCGCTTGGTTAATTGCTGGCTTTCTTCACCACTGGCTGTGCAACATGCTCCTCACACTCTCGGAGCCTGGGGCGGGGCCTGGTTCCTCATAGTGAGACCGATTTGGTGCGGTCTGGCTCTGCCGTTTGCTTTTGGTCGCTTCCTTTTTGTTTTTTGGTTGTTTTTGTTGTGTTTCCCTTTTCCCTGAAGCTGAAGGCTACGCTACTGAACACTGAAACTTAACCTGCACTGGCTACTTTATAGGTAGCATTCATAGGTCACCATTCATAGGTGTCTTCGGTTGTTTTTTAGGAATTTGGACCAGCTCCTGTCCGTCTCAAACCAGTGAGACCACTGACCCTTCAACTGGGCAAGTGCCCCAGGAGGTGGCCTTTTGACATTGGAGAACCAAAAGACTTCACCCTTGGATCATGCTAACTCTGCCATTTTCTGTATATATGTCCTATGAAATACCATGAGCTCAGACTACACTGGCGCGGAATGAACCTGTTTCTTTGTTTGTCCCCACTGCCAGTCGCCTCTCCCTAGGGCTTAGACCACTCCACTTGCCTGACCCATAAATATCCTTAAGCTTATCTTCTGGGAAGTGGATTTAAGAGCTGTTCTCCCACCTCCTCCTTAGTGCCCTTGCCAATAAGTTTTTTCTCTTTTCTAAAATCAATTTCACCTGATTGATTTCCTGCAGGTGTGGGTTGGGGCTGGGCAGAGCAGACCTAGACCTGGGCAGCAACTAGGAGCCCAGTCAGTTTTGCTCAATGAAATAAATGAATCAATAAAAAATGACAGGTGAGTATCTGGAGGGGTGCTCTGACCAGAGTCTCAACTACCTGCAATCACTTCCCTTGGGAGTCACTGTTTACCCCAGAGGCCTCTCCACCAACAAAATAGCAGAATATGATGTCTGGGTGCAGTGGCTCAGGCCTGTAATCCCAGCACTTTGGTAGGCTGAGTTGGGTGGACCACCTGAGGTCAGGAGTTCCAGACCAACCTGGCCAAAGTTTTTAGTCTGTACTAAAAATACAAAAAATATTAACTGGGTGCAGTGGTGCGTTTCTGTAATCCCAGCTACTCGGGAGACTGAGGCAGGAGAATCGCTTGAACCCGGGAGGCAGAGGTTGCAGTGAGCCAAGATCACCCCACTGCATTCCATCCTGGGTGGCTAGAGCCTCAAAAAAATAAAAATAAAAAATAAATCGGCGAATCGCTTGAACCGAGGAGGCACAGGTTGCCGAGATCGTGCACTCCTGCCTGGCGGCAGAGCAAGACTCTGTCTCAAATCAATCAATCAATCAATCAATCAATCACAGAATGTGGTGCACTCCAGACCCAGTTCTCCCATGTAGAAAGCAGAAGCTTGGAGATGTGAACTGGATCCCCGAAGTCGCTCAGCTCGGCAGGGGCAGAGCCAGGGTACTAACAGGGTGGCCAGCCTTTCACATCTGCCCGGGATACGGGACTTTCAGCACTAAAATGTGGGGTCCCGGGCGTCCTTCTCCCAGGCCCGCGACCCCATAGATGGGTGAGAAAAACATGCAGGGCTGAAATCTGGGGTCCCCGCCCCTGCCCCAGCCACGTGGCGTCCCGATGGTGAAATCGACTAAGATCAAAGAGCTCTCCAGGTGTGTCCCTCGTTGTAGCCGCAGTGCGGACATGGAGGACGCGGCAGGTCCCGGGTTCGAGGCCCGGCTCTGGGGCTGCGGGAAGGCGTGGGCGGGGCGGGCGGGGCTCGGGGACTCGGCCGCGGCACAAAGAGGCCGGCCGCGGCAGTTTTGAAAATACCAAGGAAGTTGATCTGGGCCGGGGCCCAAGAAGTGACGAGGAGGAAGGGAGGCTTGCAAGCGAGGGAGAGAAGGAGGGAGAGGGAGAGGAGCGGGTGGGAGGAAGGAAGGGAGGGCGCGCGGGGTGAGGGGCGGCGGCAGACCTCGCGGGACCCCAGCGGGACGCGCGGGCGGCGGCGGGATGCGCGCTCTGGGCGGTGGGGCGCGGCGCTAGGCGCCCGGCGGGGCGTCCCCAGGCTGCGACCCCGCGGGACCCTCCCCTCCTCCCGCCGCCTCCGCAGTCCGCGCGCCGGAGCATGAGTCCGGGCAGGAGCCCCACGGCCGCGGGCGGCGCGTAGGACGGCGATACGCGCCCTGGAGGAGCCGCCTGCCGCCCGGCTCCACCGCAGCTCCAGCCGCGGGCAGCGGGGCGCTCCCGAGGCCCCGGAGGAAGGAACCATGAAAGGTAAGCGGGGCCGGTGGGGGGTAGCTCCCAGGGGGCCCGCCCGCACCTCCGCTCCACCCAGGGCCTGGGGGGCGCCCTTCCTGCAGGCGGGGCTGGGAAGAGGGCAGGACGCCTCTGGTTTTGCCCCTGCCTTTTGGGGCATCCTTCGAGACTGGACGGAGCCCTGAAGACCCGGGGAAGCAAAGAGGAGAGGGAGGATGGGGATATTCACACACGCCCCTTGCAGTCCTGTTCTCATCGGCAGTTGCTTTAACCTCACAGATAAAAGTCCAGAGAAGTTTCTGATTCCTTTAACCAGTAGGCGCAGAAAGGTGTCACCAGACAACTTTTCAGCAGTGTAAATTTTGACCCTGGGGACCCATCAGAGAGACCCCTGCAGCCCCCACCGAGCCTTTCAACCGAGGCCGTGCCTAGGATTCTCCCCCAGGACCTCCAGCCCTTCCCCAAAAGAGACCTGAGGTGTCAGAGCCCCTCAGCCCAGGCCCTGCCCTTCCAACCGCTGAACCCTGCCTGACCCACCCTCTGACCTCCTTGGGAGGAAGCCGCTGGGGAAGCCCCGTGGGCCAGGCCTGAGCTGTCCCAGGAGTGAGCCAGCACCAGGGCAGCCCTTGCAGCCCGTTCTTGGGATGGCATAACACCCGCAGCAGATGCTTGTGTTCTAGCAGGGAGAGCCTCACCACCTCATCCACTATGGAAAGCAGAAACTGAAAAGGGCCTTTGGGATCATCTACAGGGCTCTCACTCACACTCTCAGGTGCCACAGACAGGTATAGAGGTGGAAGAGGTGGGGCCAGAGCTCTCAGCCTGCTTCAACCAGAGCAGCTCTGTTTGTCTCTTACATATAGAGCGATTTGAGGGTTCACTGGAAGAAAGGGCTCCACCAACAAACTCCTGACCAGATGCAGCCTCCACATTGCATACTTAGGGAAACTGAGGCCCAAGCAGGTAGGGCTGGATTCATGGGTCTGCAACCAGTAACCTCCTACAAGGTCCCACACTTGGTTTAATGCTCTGCTGGTGCTATCTTGAATTTTTTAAAAAATGTATTTTATTTTATTTTATATTATTTTAGAGACAAGGACTCACTCGGTTGCCCAGGCTGGAGTGTAGTGGTATGAGCATAGCTCACTGCAGCCTCGAACTTCTGGGCTCAAGCGACATTCCCACCTTAGCCTCTCATGTAGCTGGGACTACAGGTGTGCGCCACCACTCCTGGATTTTTTTTTTTTTTTTTTGTAGAGATGGGGTCTTATGATGTTGCCCAGGTTGGCCTCAAACGATCCTCCCACCTCAGCCTCCTAAAGTGCTGGGATTGCAGCTGTGAGCTGCCATACGGCCTGAAATTCTTATTTTTTAACAAGTCACCCCCTCCCACCAACTCACAAACACATACACTTTCATTTTACACTGGGTGCCACAAATTATGTAGCTGGTCCTGTAGACGGGGAAGTGAGTTGTCACGAATCCCATCTAGACGCCTCTCCAAGTCCTGGACTGTCCAGGATGAGCCAAGAAAGTTATAATCAGCCCTAGGGAGCCCCTGGCAGGCAGTGAGGGGAGCCTCGCCCCGAGTCCTACACCTCACCACAGCACCTTTGCAGCTGAATCCTCCACAGTCAGCAGGCCCAGGGCAGGCCATTACCAGAAACCTCCAAAAGGTCTTGGACCACATCTTACACGGGGCCACGCCACCCTGGACCTTGCTGATGGTGGTAAGATGTTGCACATTCTCAGAGTGTCTCCACCCCAATTCTAGACTAGCACTGTAAGAGAAGCAGCCAGGTGTGGTAGGATATCTGTAATCTCAGCTACTCCAGAGCCTGAGGAGGGAGGATCTCTGGAGCCTGGGAGTTTGAAGTGTAATGAGACATGACTGCACTACTGCATTCCAGCCTGGGCAACAGAGTGAGTCCCTGTCTCTAAAAAAGTAAAATTTATTTAAAAAAAGAGGCTGGGTGTGGTGGCTTACACCTGTAATCCCAGTACTTTGGGAGGCCAAGGCAGGTGAATCACAAGGTCAGGAGTTCGAGACCAGCCTGGCCAACATGGTAAAACCCCATCTCTACTAAAAATACAAAAAAGTTAGCAGGGCGTGGTGGTGGGTGCCTGTAATCCCAGCTACTTGGGAGGCTGAGACAGGAGAATCACTTAAACCCGGGAGGTGGAGGTTGCAGTGAGCCAAGATTGCACCACAGCACTCCAGCTTGAGCCACGGTGCAAGACTCCGTCTCAAAAAAAAAAGAAAGAAAGAAAAGACGGGGCCAAATCAAGAGCAGGTGTGAGTTAATATTTAGAATGAAATCCCTGAGGAGGACCCGCTGACACCATGTTGCAGGGTTCCAGGCTCTCCTTGTCCAGGGGGCTCCTATGCGGAACCCAAGTCCTGCCTCTCCTCCTTTCCTTCACATCCCACAGCCTCTTCGTGTACGCGGCAGAGGTCCCTCGGGCAGCGGTGGTGTGTTTCTCCTCCAGCCTCCGGAACCCCCTCAGGGATCTCCCATAACATCGCAGGGGCTGCTCGGCTGCAGGGCTGGGGGCTGACTTCCAGCACTTTCCTCCCTGGCAGCCAGGAAGAGCCGCCGCCTCTACCTGAGATGGAAACGGCAGGGCAGACAGCAAATATTTGGCTTTTGGGATCTGTGGGGTATAAAGAACCTGGATTTCTTTCACTCGAATGGAAAAAGTAAAGTGCCCAGCAGAGCAGGGCAGGCGGCCCCTTCCAGTGATCCCTTCCCAGGCTCCTCCAAAGGCTACACCAATCTTCAAATTACAGCTGTTGGCAAAGGATTGTGCCCTGCTCAAAGCAAACACAGTGATGGATGGGATGGGATGGGATGGGATGGGATGGGATGGGATGGGATGGGATGGGATTGATGTGATGTGATGTGATGTGATGTGATGTGATGTGATGTGATGTGATGTGATGTGATTGATGGGATGGGATGGGATGGGATGGGATTGATGGGATGGGATGGGATGGGATGGGATGGGATTGATGTGATGTGATGTGATGTGATGTGATGTGATGTGATGTGATTGATTTGATTGATGGGATGGGATGGGATGGGATGGGATGTTGTGATGTGATGTGGTGATGTGATGTGATGTGTTGTGATGTGATGTGATGATGTGATGTGATGTGATGTGATGTTGTGATGGGATGGGATGGGATGGGATGGGATGGGATGTGGTGATGTGATGTGATGTGATGTGATGTGATGATGTGATGTGATGTGATTGATGGGATGGGATGGGATGGGATGTGATGTGGTGATGTGATGTGATGTGATGTGATGTGATGTGATGGGATGGGATGTGGTGATGTGATGTGATGTGATGTGATGATGTGATGTGATGTGATTGATGGGATGGGATGGGATGTGATGTGGTGATGTGATGTGATGTGATGTGATGATGTGATGTTATGTGATGTAATGTGATGTTGTGATGGGATGGGATGGGATGGGATGTGATGTTGTGATGTGATGTGGTGATGTGATGTGATGTGATGTGATGTGATGTGATGTGATGTGATGATGTGATGTGATGTGATGTGATGTGATGTGATGTGATGTGGTGATGTGATGGGATGGGATGGGATGGGATGGGATGGGATGGGATGGGATGTGATGTGGTGATGTGATGTGATGTGATGTGATGTGGTGATGTGATGTGATGTGATGTGATGATGTGATGTTATGTGATGTAATGTGATGTTGTGATGGGATGGGATGAGATGGGATGTGATGTCGTATGGGGAACGGGGGATGGTGGGGATGGTGATTAAGAAAACACACCAGTTGGGCTGCCCAGCCCACCCGCGGCCAAGTGCCAGGGCCCACTCTGCCAGTCAAACCATTTCCGCCTGAGGCCCCTCCTGCCCTGTGGCCAGCTGACTGGGCCTCCCAGGCTGCCGCCTCTTTTGATGCAAGCTGGCACCTGGCCCCCTCTCCCACTCCCTAAGGGGACACTCAGGTGCCACCAGCCCTTTGATGACAGGCCCACCTTGGAGCTTCCCACTGGCCTGTCCAAGCCATTTACAGCCACCTGTGGGGTTGTTTCTACACCTCCAGTGAGAGGGACCCACCCCAAGGCACCTGTGACACAGCCTGGCGCACTGCACAGACTGATTTGAGAGCGGAAGACATGGCTCTAGTCCTGGCACGTTGTCTGCCCTCTCCAGCCTGGTTGTCCTCCTGGGTGGTCCCTGAGGCCCAAGAGCTCTGGGCCTGAGTACCACGTGGGGAGCGGAAGTGACTCAGTGCTGAGATGGCTGGAAGTGAGCCCACCGCATGGCCTCTTCTTTGCCCCGAGAGACTTTTGCTTGGCTGTGGTGGCTGTGGGCAGTCCTCTGTTCCTCAGGCGTGGGAGGAACAGCCCCTCCCTGCAGAATCAGAGAGCAGTGCCCACTTCATGCGGGCAAAGGGTGGAAGTAGGAGGAGGAAGGGCTGGGAAAATATAGCGATGTCATCCCAGGAGAGGAGAGGCTCCCCATGCAGGATCAGCCAGACCGGGAGTCCAAGCAAGCCTGATCTCCTTCCCCAGGGGCCCCGGAAGGAGCCGGGGCTTGAAGAAAAGGAGCTGAGTGGCAAAGGTGAAAAGAGCCACCAGATGGCCTGACTAAGGGGTCCAGGGAGCTCAGTGGCTCAAGTTTGGCTCCAAACCCTCAGACATCCCCCAACCCCAGCCCCGGCCAAAACAGTCACCTTGCCCTCTAGCTGGGGTGAACTTACTAACTGAAGACTCATGTTCCAAGACTCGTTTGAGAGCGAGGAAAAAGCCTTCTGCTTCTCCGTAGGCTAGGCTGGTGGAGAGCTTGGCGGTTTCCATGACGGACGGGCGGCTGCTCTGGGCGTTGGAATTGGTGCACAGTGGGGTGTAGCTGGGTGTGCTTCTCATTGATGCACTGCCCCTGTTCAATTATGTTTAATTTAGTGGTGTGTGTGTGTGTGTGTGTGTGTGTGTGTGTGTGTAGCGCTGAGTCTCAAGGTCAGGCCCAG